GCTCTTACTAACCTCCAGATAGTGATCGGTGTTCAGTACAGCCCACGCCACACCCTCGTATCCATCACAAGCCCGCTGAAACGATCTCGTAATCGATCGGCGATTGCTGGCGCACAGTCTGACTGTCGGAACCCCTGTGCCAGGTAAACTTGTAAATATCCTCGTGCTGAAGGAAGGTACTGGCGGTAGTCAAGCCAGTACAGATAGTCGAGCAACTTCCTGCCGTTTCCGTTCAGCGTGACTTAATTCCGTTCTTTTACTGTTCCATTCCGCTCCTAGTCTGCTCTTAGAGCATCGTGGCGAGAATGCGCTATGACCGTTGATTAGCCGACCGATAGGCCTGAATGTAGCGTGACGGGGTCCGACGAAAACATCGGATTGCATGGCCCCAGTAGCCAAGTTATTAACAGTCACCCTGGGAGCACAGTGACCATCGCAGTCCGGATTATCCTGGGCGACGACTAAGGCCGGCCGCACACTGGTGAAACATGCCTCAACCCGCGGCACCCAACCGTTTGCAATGTGTTCCATCCAAAGAAGTGTGTATCATACATGCATGATACATACTTCACGAAAATGTTTCACCAGTGTGCTGCCGGCCTAAGACAGTATAGAATACCTGAGCCGAACTCATGCGGGCTTTAGTCTTTGTCACCCTCAACGGTACCATTGAGGACAAAATACAAACTTTTAGTTTGCAATCCTGTAGAATTGTAAATAATACGTTGTAAGGAATTTTCTTTCATTCATTTCACGACAAAAATGCATTCAAGTTGCTTTTAAACGAAAAATATAAAATATCCACTTCAATTGCCGTGTAGTGTATTAAATAGCCACTTAAATTTAGATGAAATTGTCAGGAATTCGATCACTAGATAGATTGTTCATGCTGGCTTTTAGCGTTGAAATGAACGCCAATATTTGTTTGCTGTTGTTGCGCGGAGATCCAACATTACGGGACCATCAGGCTTATTGGGCTTGCTTACCGAGAGCGGAAGACCGGGATCATTAATGGGGAAACCACAGGGGAATATGAAGAAGCCAACGGACGTTTGACGAAGCCGGATGATTATCGTGCATGATAATCCGATGTTTTTTCTCCTGCAAGCGCTGATGCATAATTTATACGCCTGGATCAATGTGTGCAAGACGTAGAACTAGGTAAGTAGAAGGTAATTAGGCAGCTATTAGCTAAGAAGAGTATTTTAGGGTAGCGATCGAAGGAGATCGTCTTCCAGTCGTCCCTGATCGATATCTTCCTATATAATGGTTCGCTGGCCGTGTGTCCGAGTACGGCTGAGGAACAGGGGACGATGTTGCAGATCTCGTCTGCATTCTGTGGAAAAATACGACGAGGTCGAGAGGTTTCCTTCAGAAGGCGGAGGTATTCAATAGAAGTCCCTGTGGAAGACCATAAAGGGGAGTTGCCACGATCATCGCCACGCCATTCTCCCTGGACTCAACAATGCCAGGCGTAATAAAAATGGTGAGTGATGCATTTTCTCGTCGTTCCATGTGAAATAGAGATTTATGCGAGCATTTCCCTGCAAAGAGTGCTGAAATTGTTATGGTCCACAGGCAAGCATGCCCGTGTGAGGGGAAGAGGGGGGAAATATTTAAGGGTGGACCGATTTGAAATAGTACCTCGATTATTTAAAAAAAAATTGTCATGATAAAATCTCAACTTCAGTTTATCCTGTTATTTTTCCATTGCTTCTAGTCAGCATCACTTCCTTCTTTTCAATTTCATTCATTTCCAGTTTCTACTTCGGTAATCATGTCGGATGGTTCATTCCAGGATTCTGGCTGATAGCTGACAGCTCTGAGTTGTCCATGGAAACGATATTCGAGTTTTAGTTCTTCACATGCAAGAGAAGTACTTTTTAAAATTCCAATCTTGGACGTGGATAAAAGTGTTCTTCGTCGGGCTCTGACGGTGAACTCAGTACACCAAGCTGTGGCGGATTACCTTTCCTACTAGAAGGTAAAGGGACAATCCCGGAAATAATTACTGAAAGTGGAAGTCTTTCTTCGGTCTTTCGACCTCCAAGTGATCCAGGAAAGACCCAAATACGATGCAAGAAGAAGCAGAATAAGATGAAATAGTCTCACTCATGAATATTTCACTTGTGAGATGATTCGGCTACTTGAATGGACGTGAGCAACCAGGGGTCTTCGGGATGTACTTGGGAATTTGTGCCGTGATGTTCATCGAGATCCGGGAATTCCTCGTCCTCCTTTTCTCGGACAACATCCGTTACTTCTTTGAAACGTCGACGAGGGAAAGAAGGAGCGTTAGGCACGACCCAGGCGCCTGGCTGAGACGAACATGGATCACTTTTTAGCGGAACGTGCGATTCTGCCTGGCAGCCCTTACTGACTTCTACAACGTCGTGGCCTTGCACGATCCCTATCTAGTCTGTCCCCCCCCCCCAATCAATGCTGTAAATGCTGTGACTATTTGGTTGTTACTTTTTTTTCTCATTCAACTGACGTGCTTGCGAATAGCAATGCGAGAGACTAAGAGAGAAGGCTGTTGTTTCCCCCCCCCCCCCCCCCCCCTCCTGACCGTGTAGTCTGATCTTTGGGAACGAGAGGGTTTCTCGGTTTTTAAATTTGGTTCTTACCAACAATAACTCCTAAAGTCGATGCTTGCGAAGCCAAAGCATCGTTGCGGGAAACTCATCAACACGGTAGATATTAAAACTCAAAAGAGGGAGGCAAAAGAATGGAACGGAATCGTCGAGCTTAATTGTTGCTCTTCACGATTCTCTGAGTAATCCATGCATCGGAAATGATCCGTTGTGCATTGTGGACTTGGCTGTGCTAATAATACAGGGTTAATATACTAGCATCCAAAAGAAACGTTACAATATAATTTACTATTCCTCCCTTTGGAATATGGATTTTGAAGATGAGTTGGAGATGATAGAAGATGCAAGGGGCGGAAGGAACCTCTTCTTTAAGGGCTACGAGTATAGATCTCACTGGAAGCGCGAGAACCAGACTCAAAAGAAATTTGGAAAAACCATGGCCAAGTTGAGCAGAGGACTAGAAAACAGCAGAGGAGGATGGCACCATAGAATGAATTTATATATTTATATGTCCAGAAGAACCACTTAAACGTTCTTGAACTCGTAGCTTAGATTCAGAAGGAACAATCGCAGCTGATCATGCTGGAGAGTGGGGGTGCCATGATCAGGAAGAAAAAGAAATGCATGAACTTGGAACCTTGGATTGACCGCCTCAAGAACCTATTTCTGGCAAATGAAATTGATCATAATAATAAAAATGTCAGCCTTATCTTTTGTGGTGTCATTTGAGTAGACCATCTGTTCCTTTGGAGGGAGTTCGTTCAAAAGCAATTTTTTTTCAGTTGCATGGCCTAATTTTTGCATTTTACATTATCTGCTTCATAAGAAAATTGAAATTATTATAATAAGAACTATTTGTCAATTAAGTCTCGGGGGCGAAAGTAGAAGAAACCCTTTGCTATGACATTACATCTGCCCCTTGCTGTACAAGTCAATACCACATGAACATTATTAATGCGTACTCATCAACCTTTTGAGCGTTGTGCACGTACCACGCCAGGTATATGCCTATTTAGGTTTTCTTCTTGCCATCGGGTTTCCAGAGGTAAAATGATTGTGTATACCACTGTGCTTGTCATACCGTCTCTGAAAAGCACCAGAGACATGCCAAGGTTAACAGCAACGAAAAGGACCGAGAGATTAAAATGTCCAAGGAGGGTGTAATGCAGCAGACGTTACACCCTCTTGGAGCATTTTAAGTATCACTCATTTGGCGAAGTTGAAAAAGTTTCAAATGCCAGTTTGAACTTTTTCTCCCTCTGGATCGATTTACGTCCACTGTTCAAGCCAGATGCAAGCGAAGTACATGGTACCAAATAAATAATAAATTTGGACCATTTCTTTTGTCCGTAAGTAATAGGAGCTTCTTCCAAAATCAAGATCAAGATACTACATAAGTAAAGGAACTCAAGAATAATAAGCGCACTGAAAGTCTATATACTAGAAGAAACACAAAAAAATTTGTATATGAGCCAAGCCTCTTGATGATCATTCCTGGTACAAGACACCCATATTGACATTGAAAGTCATTTAATGAATAAAAAGTAAGTTCCCTTAGATCTGTGCCAACGTGACATTAATAGAGATTTTCTACATATTCCTAGGTATCGGTGACCAGGTTTGTCTTACCCAAGAGCACGAAATTCGGTGCACATATTCTAACAGAGCTTAACACATTGACTGCCATGCCATGCCATGCCATTCACATGTGGCTGACAGAGCCATAACCCTGGCAGTCAGTCATTGTGTTACAGTAGCACAATGTTCCTGGGTTCCTTCGTACCCATTCCCATTCATAGGGAAGGTGGAACATAACTAGAATGAAAATCACAGTTTAAAATGGTAGAGGACGCTAAGATGTGGTTCATATGAATTGTGCGGGATCTTTTCCTACTTTTCCTGAATTTTGGACTGGAAGGAACGTTAGGTTCCTTAATGTACAGAGTAATTCATGGTCACATATCATGCACCAAAACCAGTCTGATGCACTACTTGGTGTTGCAGGGATTTGAAGGTCAAAGGGCAAGAAGGTCTCTCCCCATTCTCAGATGTGAGTCATGTCTGATCTCCACGTCTGATAGGATTCATGCATATATATACACAAATGTTCTAGCTGCGCTGACGAGGTCCCGTCATCTGATGCATTCGAAAGCACAATCGATCTGGTACTATCTGTTTTACTGCAAGCGTTGTATCATGCAATAATAATATCTTTCCTTGTCTTGCACGCAAACACATCCTGCAAAGAAGTGTGCTTGGGCGTGGCGGCCGTTCTGTCCAAGGAGTCCTCCAATTAAACATCTTCCAATTATGGTCGATCGATGTTATCTGTTATGGTTGGCAGGTCGTGCGAGGAGTTCGTCTGAGGAATAGTGGCCGATCCTCTGCGGAGTGCTGATTGCATTCGGTTATCTGCTCATATCCATGCCACGGATGCACAGGAGGGTTATTCCCAAGGGGAACCAAGCGATGGAAGGATGCTGTCGAAAATTCCACTTGAATGAGCGGAGACCGACGAAGTCCCTATGGAGGACCATCAAAGGGACCTGCTACAATTTCTATCTCTCGAGTAGTCTCCCTGGACTCGCCAATGCCAGGCAGCACACAAATCCTATGATCCAAAGGGTGAGTGTTGCATTTCACTCATAATCACCAGTGCCTATGAATCTATCGATCTTTAAGGTTTACGTGCAAACATATTGGGTTTTCTACAAGGGGCGAGGAAGAGGACGCAATTTCGGCCCAGAGGCTTTACGGCAAGCAAACAATTCCCTTCGATCTTGGATTTTTATCGCTAGCTTAAAGCAAGAAAGTAAATTGAATCCAAGGCATGATTGACGACGTTTTGCTCCTATATATATAAAATTGCAATTACAATAATGGCTTCTTGTGACAATCGGTACATTTAGTCTATATAGACCACAGGGAACAATATTTTTTTCTTTATTTTCCTAACGTCCAAATTGTAGGCCCTATAAGAGGTGATAAAGAAAACTGGAACATCTGATCTTCCCTAACCATCCTTAGCCTCGTTACATCAAACATGAGAGAACTTCTCGTACACATTGGAAGAATATTTCTCCTATATAAGTATATATGTTGTACTAAGTGCACCAAGGAAGTGAAAAAATGAATGAAAATCCAGATGCTGGTCTGAATAATATGAATGGAACCAGACTATTCGTCACGAAAATGTTGAATAGTGTAAGTTCCATTCTTATCACAGGAAAGTTTTAAACATTTCATGATGAAACCTCGAGGTGGCATCATCCAGCGAAGACTACAGGAATTCAACGGTGTTGTCCGTCGGGCACATTCCGATTCAAAACTCATATCTCAAGTGCATCTCCTTAATTTTAATAATGATGAAATGTCCATTTATTAAAAGAGGACGCTTTAATCTTGCTCGCCTTCCATATTTCCGAATAATAATTCGCATGTGGACAACGATATGATGCAATAAAAATGACGCTACTACCATTCGGACAATATACGATTGCTTTGTTTTCTTTTGTCTTAGATTTGGATAGCGGTGTTCCTTGCCGGGACGGCTGTGACGTTGTACTCAGTGTCCCAAGTAGTGGCGGATTACCTTTCCTACCCTGTCATCACATACGTATCAATGAGCCACGCACGAAAAATGACCTTCCCGGCCGTCACTCTCTGCAATTCCAATCCCATCGTTTGCTTCAAATTGGGCCAGCTTCGAGATTTGCTTCCCGAGTTATGGGACATATCCGGGTGCAAGATAAGTTCTTTTTCGCTCACCCCAGTCTCTTGGCTACAGTCGTCGGACTTGAATCAAGAAGAACTGAAGAATGGACTCGATAGGTATTTACCTGACATCATTTGAACCTTTAAAAAAAGCATATTCCCAGAAGTAGTAAGAGGAAAAATAGTACCTTGCTCGTGGTAACCACACTGTTTAAGTTTTAAATGCAGCGAAAACACGAGATATCGAGAGGCGTTGTTCTTGAGCAGCAGAAGTGAACTTGTAAATTTAATTTTCAAGTATTATTGATTTCTAGGCTGGACAGTTTACGAGAAATCTTTGTCAAGAGTCGAGCATACTCGTATATATACAACGTTACAGGTATTTGCAAGAGGTAGTGAACACGACAGAGCTCGCACTGACTGTAGTGGATCAAGGCAACGCATATACGAAGAATTTGTCCCTCCTGAGCTTGATGGCTGGAAAAAATAAGCAGTCTCGATTGGATTCACTTCTCAAGTGTCTATTGTATGTGGCTCCGGTGGAGTTCAAAGCTAGGAACGGCAGCAAGGCGCTTGATGTCCTCATATCCTACGTGATTGGTACGTCACCATCTTGATCACTTTGTCCATCATTTTATTAGAAGCTAGAAGTTTGTCTCATATGAAGGTCAAGGAAATCTCACATTCACCAAGACACTGAGCAGCATTGATCTTCTATCAACCACAACACAGAATTCCGGCAGCATTCGAAATGTGAGCTATACGAATTCCCTTTTTCCACCTGCATAAAACCAGGCATTCGGAATATTCTGGAATCTGTCGAATTTTCTGACGAAGAGGTTTCCATCTCCACAGGGCAGTTTAAAGCAGGAAGATGCTCGTGGATTTGGAGTGGTGGAGATCCAGTATGCAACCGAAGATTACTATAATGCGAGTTCTCTGACCTTGTTTAGTTCAGTCTGAACTGTAAGCATGTAAATAATTTGCATTTATATGTCGTCGCATGCGTAGTACGTGAAGCTGCTGGAAACCTTTTCCAAAGTGAATTTGGAACTGAAGCGAAAAATAGTGAATTCCATGGAATCGTTCATCTGGAAATGCACCTTTCAAGGCGCCGACTGCCTCCACAAAGAGTGAGTCATTGTTGATGATTCAGGACCTTAGCTCCATCCACTTTTTCATACGGAGTTCTAGAAAGGTATTCCCAGGCACAGGGCAACCGTTTTGGGTAAGGAGTGCCGACTCTCATAGCACGAGGATGCGCCAACGGGCAGCATGTGCTCATTTAACATTCATATTTATATTACTATCAGGACGAGACACAGGCGTATTTCTCAGATGTAATTAATGCCTGAAATTTTAATCGACTGGTGACTTTCAAACAAAGGGAACTTTCAAACTTGGAACTTTTTTTCTTCTCAGCAATTTCCAGCAAGTAATCATCCCACAATATGGGACTTGCTTCATGTTCAATACAGCCTGGAACCCAAACGATTCAAGAGGAGGAAAGAGGATCACGGGCAAAACTGGAGAAGAAACAGGTCAGCTGTAACCTGTCATAGTGACTTCGCGTCATATCTTTATTATCTGGTTTCTTGGTTAAATACTCTCTTTCCTTTCTATGAGGACAGGTTTGTCGCTGGAATTATATCTAAATAAGGTAAACTACGTCAGGAATCCAACAGCGTCGAGTGTTGGAGCTCGAGTCACCATTCATTCCCCGAATGAATGGCCGAATCCCATAGAACAGGGATACATGGTTCAACCCAACACTCGCAATGTCTTCGCCTTGCAAGTAGTGAGGACCTGCATTGCATTGGCCTCATTCCCTCAGATTGATATCCATAAATCTGAACCATCCCCACAATTTCAGGTGAACATGTCCAGGCTGGGGAGTCCCTACAGCACAGATTGTTTCTCGGATTGGAAAAAAACGGAATATAAACCCTATTCTAAGGATAATCCAAATGCCAGCCTCGCCTATAGTCAAGTCGTGAGTGAATACAAATTAATAAGACAAGTGTTCTACTGCCTTACGGTTGAATGTGCATGTTTTTTCCCACACGTTTTCTCGCATGGTCTGGCTTCGAAATGGGAAAAATACTGTGCTTCTGAGTAGCAATGCGTGAGACTGAGAGAGAAGGCCGAGATAGCAAAGAAATGCAGATGTCTCTACCCTGAAATCCAGGACAAATTTCTGCACAATGGGGTGTCTTATGAGGGATATCCTACATGCAACATCAGCATCGGATGTGAGTTTTTCCAATGAAAAAACTCATCTCGCCAGCTAAATATTCAAATGAATAGGTGAATTTTCCAGCGGAAGACCAGAGGTGCATCGTGAATGAAGAAACACTCCTCCAAACATTGTCCCCCATCTGCAATCCGTCTTGTCGGTAAGTCATTTAAGAAATCTTCGAGGTCTTAAAAAATTGTAATATACCTCGTATTCAATACAATATTGTCTTGTTTTGATGTTGAACTTCGGTAGAATTCCGCGAAGAATTAGTAAAAATTGTTTTTTTTTTTTTTTAAGTTAGGGGGAAAAGACAGTATTAGTAGAGACGAGGGATTATTTCCTTTTTCAAGAAAGGAAAGCCAAGAAAATAATCCCTTCACTTTTTCTAAAATTAATGCTTCCCTTTTCCAATGTTTGGAGGACACAAGGTACTCTTCTTCAGTGAAGAAAAATAAGAAGGTAAAAATGAAGGGTGACCATATTACAGCAAGAGAAAAATCAGGAATTGAAGGGGGAATGTGGGATGGTCTTCGTGATGAGGATTTTTGAAGTTGAAATGAAAGTTCACTTTAGTCTCGCACGACGAATGTGCCCTATTTTTCCCCACTCTTTCTTTAAAGGTGTTGAAACTCATGTCGATTTTGGCATGGATCTAATTGCGGGAATAAGTCGTTTTAGGATTAAAGCATCGAGTGAATACATTCTTAAATAGCCGGGAATATTGGATCTGGTTCAACTAAAAATCTGGAACAATACGTTTGTCCCATAGTCATTCACTCAACCTCTCTCTTCGTGACCTGAATAATTGTGTCCACTAGTTTTGAGTGTGATTGTGTGTACGGGCGAAACACTGTTAATATACTCCTACCAGGCAGATTTTGTGGATTGCTTCAGGTACACACTTTCTACATTTAAGTATTTTGTCTGAGATACTTTGCATACAATTTCTCCATCAGAGACATGCATTTTGTTAAGTGTGACAAGACACACGCAACACCAATTATTGCATCTACCCATATAGGGTATTCCTGGTACAAACAGTACAACGAATCACGAATACGCTAATGAAACTTTTTCCCACAATCTTTGAAGGGAGATAGCATACGACATTGCACTGTCCACATCGTTTTGGCCAGCGGAGACATACTTCGTAAGCAGCCTCCTTTCCTATGCCCCAAGTTCACTACAACCTAGAGACAATAAATCAGACGCCAAGTTTGATATCATGTAGGACAAGTTGCTATCGCGCGCGCTTGTCAATCTGGGATACGAGGATGCCTACGACAGATTTCGTGACAAACCAGACGAGTACCAGAATTTATTGGAACAACTACAGAAAGGCATGGTGAAAGTGGAAATCATTTTCCGGTCACTCAATCTGCATGTCATCGAGGAACAGCCGAAATACGACGTAAGAAGCACCACCAAATCCTTGGGAATGTTTTATATGAAGTGAAGGTATTTCGCTGAATTTTTCCTAGTTGAACGGGATGGTAAGTAACCTAGGAGGAGTATTAGGGATATATTTGGGAATATGCGCTGTGATGCTCATCGAGATCGCGGAATTCCTCATCCTCCTTCACTTCAACATCATCCGGCATTTCTTCGGGACGGTTTCGGACGGAGATGAACCACCCAGGAACGCGGAAGGCGCAACACCTTCGGGCCGGGTTCCGATTTCTACAACGTGGCCTCGCTCTACCCTAACGAACCCCACTCGCCCGTGAACCGCTCCTCAGAGCGACGTATTGACGATTGAGAATGGTGAATTGCAGTGCGTGAATGTAAAAATAAGAGCATGAAGTTGGCACATACCCAAATATGCACAGAGACGCTAAAAGGCAATGAAAAGGCAAATCTAGGTTTTGTAACATATGTTGGCGAGCTTTCGTAGATGACCCCATGTTCTCAAACTATTTATTGCCTTTTTCTTCTTTTGGTGACTCGCAAGAGTTAGCGGAATCTCATTCCAAGGACGGAAACCGGATGACGACTGCCATCTTCCCTTTTTTTTCGTTTTTCAGGTTGAGTAGGATTCTAATATGATGACTTGATTGACTTCACACGATAGAAGCGACACTATGCTGAATGCAGGTGGAACTGGAGTGGCCTCTCTAGGCTAAACTCAAAGAATTTCACACCCATATTACTGCTGTTCCTTATCCTTTATTGGCGTTATGAACATCTTCCCCCATGTACGCTCAATGGTAAAAAACAATAATTTTTTTTTTTCACAGTGAATAGAACGCACATTATGACTCTACTTTTGTATCTTTGTTTTTTTTTTATGGGAACAATAATTGCACTAGAACTGAAAAGTGGCTATCGTAATGACTCCAAACGATTCGAAATGATATCCTCTGTTACATTATTTATTTGTATATACACTGTAGCTTTACACTTTAGCATGCACTTTGGTGTGGATTTGAGAATATTATATACTAGAATATCTAATGCATTAGAGAACATACACGAATCTGCGAGCCAATATGGCAGTCAATATTACAGAAATTCCGCCTGCGGCCCTAACCCCACGGAATGCCTTATTGCGTCTCCTCCAGATCTCATAATCCAGGGGTGTCCAACCTACGGCCCGTGGGCCGGATCCGGCCAGCGGTGACAGTTCATCCGGCCCGCGGCGCTTCCCGAAATCCAGCTTTTTTATTGGTCAATTTCTCTGCGTCCACCCTCACCCCCTCGGCAGTTATGCGAACTCGTTTGTTCCATTGACAATCACCTTGAAAAGGACAGCCAGTCAGCTAGTTCCCAAGAAAGCTTCTTTGGTACCGTGTCTTGCTTTCTTGTGTTGTGCAGTGCCAGTGACAGCGATTGCTAGCTTTGCAAAAAATCGAAAAGTCGGCGGCGAACATCGCGAATTCAAAGACAGCTGGACAGAAGACTATCTCTTCTCTGTCCAATGTGCCCAATCCAAAAGCTTCACTGCCTTCTTTGTCATCCCACTGAAGCTGTAATTTAGAGCGTAAACGCGAAAAGATCGTACGAAACGATCACATGAATTTTAATGCGAATTTCTCCAAAGGATTTCTAGGAAGGAAGGAATCCCGAAGGATACTTACTTCATATTTAATATTAAAAAAAAGGTATTGCGGCAGGTCCCTTAAGGGGCAATGCGGTTCAGTTGGGCAAAAAAGGTTGGCCACCCCTTGTCTTAATCGACACATTCCCTCACTTGTGCTTGTGACGCAATTGTTCACGCCAATCCTTTTTCCGTGCTCGTTCTACAAGCTATTATCGTTGAACAGGATGATCCTTATGATTGCAGGGAGGAAGGAGAACAAAAAAAGCTTGCTCTAGCGATACTTTACCTGTTAACTCCATTTTCGCAAAATGTATTGTATTGGGGGGGGGGGAGCAATTCATTTGAAATCCAGCCACTTCATGTCTCAATTATTCCGAACTGTACGTTTCGCACAGAGACTAAGCAATAGCTACGTAGGAATGCACAGCAGGAAGACAAGACACCTTGCTCAATTTCAAGCCTGGTTGATGTTTAATTTCTTATGATTCTTCAATGATCATGTGTACATTGGTATTGGACCAATGTTGAAGCAGATGACCGCCAGGTTTCCGTGAATCCCGTATACCTCGCACAATAAAATACTGATAACAAAGGAATTCTTCATTGTGAATTCACTCAGGAGTTCCCACCCACCCACCAGACTTCCATAAATGGGAAGATTCAACCAGACTATTTGGCTCTATAATCTTCTCTGACCCCTTGCCAAGAGAGCAGGCCTTCACTTAGACTGGATACAATGTAAGTGATGAAAAGAACTTATCCAATACGTTAATTGCATTTTGTATGAATCCTGAAAAAGAACGTTCATAGAACCCTTTTCTTTTCTTTGAAATATCCAATTCTCGCTATATCTGAGTTCGCATAGTTCAAGGAACGCCTGAATTGAACTGTTTTTGATCACTCTAAATTTCGGATATTTAAGCAGTTAATACAACGTTCCCATGGACTTTAATGGAAAGCTGGCAGTACCTTAAATGAAACGTTCATTGAACACATTCGAGTGCTACTCGGGTGGTAGTCTCTGAAGACCATGGTGACTCCTTCCACGAGAACAAAGCTTTTCGTTTCCTCCGGTTTCCAGCAGGTTTACCTGATCTACCTACTAGTCAGAAATTAGCCTAAGATTGCTTCTCAAGATTGCTCTATTTTAACTTGGAACTCGTAACAACCGCAAAACATTCAAACCTGCGAACGAAGATTTCCGATGTGAAAGATTGGGTTGGAAAGAAAGTCTTGCAACACTGCGCACATTTTTCAAAATGTTATAACTTTATTGAAATACAATTTCAGTCTACAATGTAATGACCATTGTTGTCTATGACATGTTNGACGGCAGTCACGGTGGTACCGGTTGGCAGGAGCTCATAGTACGACATTCCTTCTGAATCCCACCGACAGCAGAGAAGAACCTTCTTTTCGTGGAACCCTGGTTTCGGTTCGTGTGGCGGTAATTCTCCTCGTGGAAGCCACTGACTCTTGCGAGTACGGTCGACGTCGAGGACCCAGCTCTCATCTCCAGTAACGATTTCCTTCAGAAGGTCCTTTCTTTGCGGACGAAGGAGCAGTGATTCGCAGACACCGACACGGCTTGCTTCGTCAGAGTCGCTGAGCCGATGAGGGACCCATGTCGAGTAAACCTTCCGATAGCCGAGGTCGTTCGGATGGGTGCCGATGGCCATATGGGTGACTTCAAGTGTAGTCGCCGATTCGCGAGTGGTGGCGTTCGGCTTCGCGTCGAGGGCGTTCCGCAGGCTTCGTCGATGCACGTCCTGAGCGTGGTCGATCTCCGGAGGTCGTGTCGCCAGATTCCAAGCGTTTGAACCATCGAGACACCGTGGAATAGTGGACGACGTTGCCCTCGAATGCAGCACAGATGTTGTCCGCGGCGGCTCTCGCAGAGTGTCCTTGGAGGAACTCGTAGTAGACGATGTGGGGAAGATTTGCTCGTTCGATCGGTGCCATGGCTGCCAATTAATGGCAGAAGCCGCCTTATATACCCCGAGGGCAGAAGCTTCGAGAACATTCCAGCATATACAAATGCAAAGCCCCGCCGATCATTCCTTTGAAAATTTATATAAATAGTTTTAGAAAGTATTGCAAGACTTTCTTTCCAACCAAATAGCTTTCGTGGTAGCCGGGTTTCGGAAATCCCTGTTTGACAGGTATCATCATTCAATTTAAAAAAATGATTGAACTACCAAAGGGAACTGAACATTTCCTAGCATTTTGGTGTACGTAACATTAATTTTCAACAAGTAGCTAATTAATAATGCATTGTAGTGGTTGCATTAGGAAGACATACCAGAACTGAATATGTTGAGACGATAATTTTTCGCTTATAAGGAGTAATTGGAGCTTACGAAGCGTGGAAGGCCAGTTACCATGGAAAAGCATGTAAACATTACCATGGGGTTAAATTAGTGCAATGAGACCGCAGTTCGCATGGTTTGGGTGGGCTTGCCCAATACAACAAAAGTTGACGAAGTCTCACCATCGGCATGCATATATACCAGAGAACTCCATCATTATCCCCACAATTATTCAAGCAATAATCATGAAAATGCAATTAATTTGGATTCTGGTGTACTTGCGTGACAAGTAACGGAATTTTTTCTCATAAGTGTGCTTTGGCGTGGCAGTAATGAGGTATGGGGATTATGCTCCTAGGAGATGTACCACTTATTCTCGATCGATATCCTCGAACATCGATATCTTGTTGCCTCGCTGGGCATGCGAGAATAGGTTTTTACAAGGAACAGTGGAACCCTTGGAATGACCTCGTCTGCATTCAGTTACACGACATGCTATGATGCCCTGAATGGAGAAAAAAGTAAGTCCGATAGAGAACCTGGTGATGGATGGAAACGGAGGGAAGTTCCCTTCCAGAAGGCAGAAATCAAAGAAGTCCCTGTGGAAGACCATCAAGGGGAGCTTCCACAAATTCTGGCTCACCAGCTCTCTCCCCGGACTCCTCAATGCTAGGCGTCACACAAATGCCATTCTCCAAGCGGTGAGTATAGCATTTCGCTCAGATTCATCCCGCTTATGAGGTAGGGCCTCGTTCGCATGCTCTGGGAGCATGCTGCATGGTCCATTAAAGCAATTGTATGGCCCTTGAGCTACATGTGGGAACATGTAGAGCTTCCTGGCTTCTTTTTACAATAAAATGCAAATTGAACATTTGCATTTTATTGTAAAAATTTGAACCACCATCGTATTCGCTGTCCCACTTTCTTTGTTACCTCATTTGCCACCATCTTGATTTTCAGCACATCTATTAAAGCAGGAAACACGCGATTGTGGGCATGGGTTAACAACATTCTTAAGACAAAATTATTAATCTACATACGTTACTCTGCCTTGTTCAAACAAAAGTCCTGATAGACCTTGAATACCCCTCGTATTATACAGTAAGTCAAAGTGAAGGGAGGAAAAGAAAAGTCGTAACACCTAATATACTACTGATTAAACTTATCTGATAAATAATTGACAACAGTCTTGCTGACAAACTTCTGAAGGATATGCATGCATACAGGGCCGTAATTGCCCCATGTGGCGGCACTAGGCAGGCTGTCATGAATGGCTTTTCCCTCAATTTTTCTCTTATCAGTTCTCGCGTCCCTTAAACTATCTGCGTATTCGAGTCTAAGATTGTGCCCCCATAGTTGAAATGAATCTGAATGGCAAAGCCCAGTCGGCATCTTTTCATTCAAGTATACAAAATAGTTATGAGCTCATTAGTATCTCCATGAGTATTCATTGGCACGCTCATGGGTTTCCCTCAATAACTATAGCACTGTTTTCCTGCATTTACGAGATGCGACGATGGCAATGATATGGTCAAAACCTACTTCTTTTGCTACTTGATTTTCAATCGAGAACATTGCAAGACCTTTCTTTGCCATTGTTGATCGGACGTATTTCTTGGTATTCTTAAGTTTGCTGAAAATTCTCTCAAGGCAACTGATGAGGAAAGGGTCAGAAACATCCTTAGAACCATCTCCAAGTTTGGGATATGCATCGAGGACTTGTCGATGTGCATTGAAAATCGAAACATCTCCATTCTATCGACTATCTTGTCGCTCCGAAATGTCTAATATATTTTTTATTTTAGTTTTTCTCTGCTTCATTCGCTTTTCGTTTGCTTCGTCCCCCACCTTTCTCGACGCCCCCCTTTTTAGGTGGCGCCCTGGGGCAGGTGCTCCCTTTACTTACGGCC